CTTCTGTCATGAACACTTGAAGACTCAAATATAAATAAGAAAGAAAATGAATAATAAATGTAAATGTGCGTGTTATAATTTTTTCTTAGCATAATTAGTGACTTTGAAATTTGTTACTTTAATATAAAATAGGCAGAAGGTTTACTTTAGTTAAAAGATGATGAAGTCGTTTACATCTTGATTAAACACACTTGATCAATTCTTCCAGAACTGTAAACCTAATTTTCATGAACATGTATATGTTCAATAGAGTTCAATGAGGCCATCGGGACTGAAAAACTAATTGTGTTTGAGTTGGTGGACGATGAAAACAATCTATTTGGTTAATTTTTATTCTCCAGTTGTAAACCAAATCTTGATCGATGTCTTTATTACATTTTTCTTGAAACCTACAGGCAAACAGAAAAATATTCGTACGATATATATATATATATATATTATTATTATTATTATCACATTTATGTCTCATGAAAACTACAGCAATTAACAATTTTTCAAGCATGGCAACAAACTAATAATGGAATAGAAGCTTTATAAAGTTTCTTTTAAGTGTTCATTAAACACGTTATTTCGAAGTTGTAAATAGTTTCTACGAAATATGTTTGCTGAGTAGAATATACTGCTCTCATCAGGTCTGAAAAGCTAACTGTGTTTTCAGCTGGTGGCCTGTAAAAAATAAGCTATTTGGTTTGGTTCTTATTTTGTGGCCAAAACGCGAATGTGACTAATGACCTCACTGCAATTTTCTTAAACTCTTAAGGCGTTAGGTGAGTTTGAAATATGAAAATGGTATGCACAGATGTTGTGGAAATAATATTGGAAATTTTTCTACTTTCTATGATATAACAGCAACAACAAAAACATGTTATAAATCATATTCTGTAAGTTTTGCTATTGCAGTCTTGAAACAAATGAAGGTTATCCTGTTTAAGTTACGAATAATCCAAGAACCTCATAAATCATGTAAGTGAATTTTGTACATCCAGATATAACACATCATTTTTGGCATCTTCTGGTATTTTGTATGCTCATCCTGAGAGGCATTTAAAACGATACATGGAATAAACGGACAAGTTAGGGGCCTAATTTAGAACATTTGCTCAGAGACGGAGCAACTAATCTGCAGCACCTGCGCTTATTCGGATACTCTTAATCATATATTGGTGTTGACTGTCGCAACTATAACGCCCTAGATATTGCCACTCAACACTTGGACCTTCTAGTTTATATTTTTCCTAACCACATCAAGGACAAGTTTCTCCATCAACTTCTTAGAAACACAGAAGATGACAGGTTTATTTTATAAAACATTTCCAATTATATAATGATGTTATGTATTATACAATTATACAGAGAAAACAAAATAAGAACGTATTCGTTGGTCGTACAACAGACAGAAACATAATAATGTAACTGCCGTAACGCTTATGTAATGTGGTAGCGAAAAATATTATAGGATCCCTTGATCATCAATTACGCTTTCTTTGAAAGAGGATAAATTATTTTACAGTCTGCAGGACTTTAACTGTGAAATAGGGACACTCGCCATTGCATGAGATAACCAAATAAACAATTCCACTAGCAACGTAGAAGAATCTGGAAATCAAGTTATTTAAAATGTCAGAATATACAAAAGAAATAACAATAAATATTCTAATAAGAATAAACCTAATTTAATACCTAAATATAATAAAGACATGATATTTGTAGAATATTTTAATCATGTTCAGTTGATAAAGTAGAAAGCGTATAATTGCATCATTATATGTTAAGTAATAAGTTTTGTCAATATAGAACAGGACTTTTTACTGTAGTTTTTTAATAGTTTGATTATTATTAAACTAATAATTTTGGCTCACTTTATGAAACTGATTTAATGCTCTACAAAAATAATGCTGTTTTACTAATATGCGTAAATAGTAAATTATAAATTACAAATAGCAATTTGAAGGATCCTTCATATAAAATTTATATACCTTACTTAACAGTTCTATAACTAATCTCTATCCTCCTACACCCAGATAGATGGGTACACATCTTTATCACTACATTTTCTTGAGCTACACTATAGTGCATAAAGGTATCCGTGCTTACTTTATTTTGTTTTTATATATGCCAAACTAATTAAGGTGAAAATACACATCCTTATCACTACATTTTCTTGAGCTACACTATAGTGCGTAAAGATATCCGTGTGTATTTTATTTTGTTCTTATATATATATCAAAATAATTAAGATGGAAATACACATCTTTATCACTATATTTTCTTGAGCTACACTATAGTGCATAAAGGTGGGTGTTTATTTTATTTCTTATATATGTCAAAATAATTAATGTGAAATTAGTACCCGTGATGTTTAACTAATAACCATTTTTTATTAAATTATTAAAACCATTAATAATACATAATCAAATGTATACAATGGTTTTATGGTTGTAACTACTCATAGGAAAACAATTCTGAATAGGTGCTTAATTTGTCAATTTAGTTTTAATCTAGCTTTCCTTAGCTCCTTTCTCTCATGAGTCGTCATTGGTATTATTTAGCCGACAATACTTTAAACATGAGGATATTCAACTAATAGATTAATGAAATCTACATATTATAAGTTCTATATTCTCTGACTGGTTAGCATCATATGAACTCTTGATTTCAAATCTATCAACTACTTTTTCTAAACAAAAATGTATAAACCAATTAGAAAAGTGTAGGCTAGAGCATATTGATTTAAGTTATATTTCAAGTACACTGTTAAATGTATTTACGTTTGTAAATTGTTTATTAATAAGTTACCGCGCCTATATATTGAAGAACCAGAAATGAATATATATAACAAAAAGGAAATCAGAAACGTTTTTTCTGTGAATGTTCAAATACATGACACAATAACATGACACAATCGATGTTAATATATGCGTGTTCTCCAATAGCTATTTAAATCACATGCGCATAAAACATCCACCTTTCGTTCATTCATATAGAGATCGATATGTAAATGTTCTAGGAGACAGAGCATGGAGAAGGTTAAGTTTGAAAAATAATGATAATAAAATTCGCAAGATGTAGGTTTTATGGTTATTCCGATTAAAAAGAAATTGTTTCAAAGACTTTATTAGATATTAAAGTTAAATGTAAATTCGTACATTTTCGAAAAACTAACTAACATAAAATCAGCAAGTCGTAATACGCTGTAACATAAGCAATAATATCAATAATTTTGCGTTTATAAAATTTTGAATATAATGTTAAGTGGGTAATTATTACAGTATGTTATTTACTCTAACATATCTAAAATAGTTACTATTTAACAAAAATGGCTGCTGTAATGCACGTAAACATCTTGATGCAAAATCTTGCAGTTAATAATTACATCACTATATAAAACTACCCAATGAAAAATTGTTTTCTCTGGTTCGTAAAATGATTAATAATACATCACTAGCTGAATTAACACTCGGTATTTATAAGATGTATAAGATTTATGTTTCGATAATTTTATTTAGACAGTTACAGTATTTCAGAGGGTAAATATTTTATTTAGACAGTTACAGTATTTCAGAGGGTAAATATTTTATTTAGACAGTTACAGTATTTCAGAGGGTAAATATTTTATTTAGACAGTTACAGTATTTCAGAGGGTAAATATTTTATTTAGACAGTTACAGTATTTCAGAGGGTAAATATTTTATTTAGACAGTTACAGTATTTCAGAGGGTAAATATTTTATTTAGACAGTTACAGTATTTCAGAGGGTAAATATTTTATTTAGACAGTTACAATATTTCAGAGGGTAAATGACGAATTCAAAGTATCAAATCTATCGTGGCTGCAACAAGTTATCGATTTTCTAAAAAAAACGGTAAAAATAGCACTAAAAATATCTACTCACTTGCCCACCCCCTGTTACTCAGCGGTAACTTGTCGGCTTATAGCGCTAAAGTTCGGGGTTCGACATCGTCAGTGGGCACAGCGCAGACAGTCTCTTTTGTAGCACTGTGTTTAACAATAAGATTAAACCAAAGAAAAACAAAAGTTATTCGCTATAAGATGCCATTGATTTTATTGGCAGTTGTCAAACAGCACTTGAATGTCGCGTTCTGGGCGTCTGTCTTTTATTCGTAATGCTCAAAGTAATAAACATGAATACCAACGAAGCTCAAACGTTATATACCTTAAAGAACATGACGATACACTAGTAGTTGTTGCATATTATTAAAGTGTGATATAAACGAATATATCCGAAATCCATCACCGCATATTGTGTAAAGCATACTTGAGATAACTTAATATCTTTAGAAGATATAAAAGTATAACAAAAATTCTGAGAATAAATACTGAATGTAAACTGAACACATATTTGAGACAAGTGACCTTTTCACTCGATGTAGTTCGTTGTTTTTCCAGAAGGTTCTTATAAAAAAGTGAATATTTGGAACAATAATGTGAGAGAAAATGATCTTACCTTATCTTGATCAAAATATAGGTATAGCTATTATCTTTTATATATTTTTCAGATACTCATTAATTCGACAGTTAATGAAAGAAATATTTACATAAATCTTATTGTTAAATGAAAATCCTTTCATGCAGAACGGTTGCTTTCGGTTTCAAACTCGGACTACAAAGTTCTGAAATTTATGATTATTTTCTTTTGCCTTTAATTTTATATGCACGTAGATATTATAACAAGTAAAACACTACATCCGAAACACAAATTCGCTTAAATAATCCAAAAAATCTTTAAAGACAATCCAATAAGAAAATAATATATATATATTTGATTTCAAATTATTAACATTTTGTTATATTTGATAGATCTTACACTCTTGCTGTCCAGGTTTTCCTTAAATTCACCCGTTTTCATATATTAATTAAAATGCATATTGTAAAGAAATCTTATGGTTTGTTTGTCAGCTGTAAATAAGGCTAAAATACATTGTCACTTTTCGGGTATTTTTAGGTAAAAAAGACACAGAAAATTCCATGAGATTACTTACCAATTTCAGTATTATTTCTGTCTTAATGAGCTTCTCAGTATATTTTCTTTAAGTCTGTAAAGTAAGTTTATGGTATAAAAACGTTATTTCTTGAATACGTAGAGAGAAAGAGAGAGAGCGGTGGCAGGATCATCTCAAGGAATGCTTAATCGATATCAGTTGGCCTTCTGCGTAATTTTCTTCGGTTCAAGTCTTAAGTTTGCACTGTTATGAAAATAATGACTATTAGATTTAGATAACTGTCATATTCACTGTGACTCTGAATTCTACAGAGAACAGTGTACGATACACACTCACTCGCCCAGAAATCAGCCACCAACTAACTGGTGAACTTAGAGGTAACTTGCCTCTATCTGATGTGAACACAATAGCAATTCTAGTCGATAGGTGGGGTTAGTGATCGAATAGCAGGAATATTCTAGAGCAAAATCGCATTGAACTATCTGCTGTGTCCATATCGGGTAATCGAACCCGGGATTTTAGCGTTGAAACTCCGAGGAGTTATCACTGCCCCACCTGTATAAGTTAAAGGAAAATAACTTTGTGTTTGCAACATATGTAATATATATATTGTTTTTTGTGACATGGACAAAGAGAACAGAAATCAGCTATTATTTAATTTTGATAACGTTTTCTTAATTTACTGAATAACTGTAGTAAGATGAATTTTCTAGTGTAACAACGTTTCGTTAATTATTTTGTAAGTTAAACAAACTCTTACGATCATTAAACAGAGCATTAATGCAGGTCAATTTTACCTGACTTAAATCTGCATATAAGCAAATTATTTACCCCAATACAAAATCTTAGTACTTAGAAAACATTACTTATTTAATATTTTATATTCAATAAGATTTTCAAAGTTTACTTACGTTGTTATACTTTTTTTATCGGACGGTGCTGACAACATCCACGTTTGTTTTAAAAGTTGTCCAACTATTCATAACTGTTATTCTATCGGTATTGTAAGGACGAAACGTTTTTTTGTTTAATATGAAAAGACTGCTCCATCTTTTTTGAAATATGCGGAAAGGTAACTTTCAAAACCGCTGTTGTCTCGGATTTTCAGCTAAATATCAACATGAAATTGAATAAAACAACAGATTTAGATGTAATTTTGAAAAATATATTATTACTGTTCATAGAATAATTTCTTTGAACATTTATTTAAATGCAGTTTTTTTATAATTGTACATAACCTTTTCACTTGCCCCCCACGGTGGCACAGCGGAATGTCTGCGGACCTACAACGCTAGAATCCGGGTTTCGATATCAGTTGTTCATAGAATAATAACCTTTTTTATCAGATGTAAGTAATCTAATAGCATTAGCTGGCCTACATCCAATGTACAGACCTGCGAAACTCATCTGTAATAGCTTAGAAAGTATTCCACTTTATGAATAGCATATAACCAATACGAAAAATATACGAATAAATCGCTTTTAAATTTCCTTTAAACTTATGCGGTTAAATGAATTACTTGTTGATACGCATAAGACTGTATCGAAGAGTTTATATTTCCTTCTCTGTCTCTTTCTTATATATTTACATAACACTATTAGTTTATTTTTAATTTCTTCAAACATTTATTTGAATGAATTTTTTCTTATAATTGTACACAACTTTTTCACTAATGTCCCCCAGTGGCACAGCGATATGTCTGTGTACTTACAATGTGTGTTTCGATATCCGTTGTGGGCACAGCGCAGATAGCCCATTATGTAGCTTTGTGCTTAATTACGAACAAACAAACAAATTTTCCCTAATATTTTAAAGAAGCAACTTATATCATAAACTGACTATAAAGCATAAACAGCTTACATACAGTCACAATGTTTCGCATTCTCTACAAATCATAAGCTGAATTCTGAAACAACTCAAAGTAACAAGTTACCGAACTAACAAGTTCAGAAATGCAGGATCTGTGCTTTGTAACTCTATAAGACAGATAGCTCAAAGTTTTTTATTTTTATATATAATAAAATTTAGTTAGCAGAAATGGTGATACGAATTGTATTTCAGAAATACTGCCTTAGTAATTGGTTGAAAAAAAACAAAGTCTGTGATGGTCTTAAGAATTGGTTATGTTGATTCTTAGCATAAACCTACACAATAGATTATATGAGTTGCGTACACCACGGAGAATGGAACCCCGAATTTTAGCATGGTAAGTCCATAAACTTACTTTAGACCAACCGGAGAACCGTCTTAAGAGATGATAACGTAAATATAGTAGATAATAATAATGTGTAAAAGTGCATACATTATCTCTTGAATTATTGGCTTCTTGGTAAATCTTTCACACACGTTGAGTAATTTTATGTTTCTGTCTGTTACAACAATCACTGTAAAGAACTGGCCATACATAGGAAAACTCCAGCAGCAAATTAGAGATATCCGTTTAAAATCTAATGATGGACACTTTATTAATTCTAGCGTTACAATTACTGAAAACAACAATAAATGTTGATTGCTTTTTTATGTTTCGTGTTTTAATAACATATAACTAATAATTTGTATCGCTTAATATTTTGCAATCTTAATAAGGTTCGTTTCGTAAACAAAGCGATGATTTAGTCATATAGGATAAGAACAGTTAAGCTCTAAATGGCATACAGCCTTAATAGTTTATAGAGTGTCAGATGTAAAAATAAGTAAAGTGCATTTTTAGACAAATATAATTATATATACCTTTTCATGCTGCTTAACAAAAATAGATAAAAGGAAAATAACCATGCGTTAGCTTTGAATCCTTTGTCATTTAGTAGTTTATAAAGGTTTAACTTCACACGCTTCACTGTTATTCCTTTATAAAGCTCAAAATATTTTGACATAATTATGATTAAAAACTTTAAACAAAAATATTGTGTTTTGAGCTCATCACTCATGGCAGAAAATTTTTCCTTTCATAAGGAATAAATGTAGAAGATGAATGTGCTTTCTTAAGTACCGGAAAGCCTATAAACTTGTCAAGAAGTGCCTCTTGGACACTTAATTTTGAGTGATAGCTCATTATTAACTCCCTTCGGTATTATTGTAGTGGGATAAAAATCGATGTGTATAAACACAAACAGGCAATATCACGAATATACCAGAAGATTCATTTTCGACAGAAAACGTTTGGAAAAGTTACTCTTCAGGTTAGCGAGAAAAAAACAACAGTAACTATGTGATTGTTTAAATCAAAATTTCATACTAAACTGCAGAGGAACTCAAACACCTATATAGTTAAAGACATCCATTGAGTTCATAAATTAATAAAATACGGGACGGAACAGTCTATAAATTTCGCTACGTCACGTTGCACAGAAATATTACGACACTAATCGCAGCTCTGATTAAGTTAGTATGACTAGAGAGCTAATAGGAATTGTGACTGGAATTTTTGGCTAGCCATGGCACGTTTGTATCCGAATAAGAGATAACAGAAATATTACGACACTAATCGCAGCTCTGATTAAGTTAGTATGACTAGAGAGCTAATAGGAGTTGTGACTGGAATTTTTGGCTAGCCATGGTACGTTTGTATCCGAATAAGAGATAACAGAAATATTACGACACTAATCGTACCTCTGATTAAGTTAGTATGACTAGAGAGCTAATAGGAATTGTGACTGGAACTTTTTGGCTAGCCATGGTACGTTTGTATCCGAATAAGAGATAAAACAAAATATACTGAAAGAAAAAACAATAAAAATAAATTAGGTAATCAAGACAATCAAAAAGAAATCCGACAGTAAGTACGTTGGTGATTTCATAAATAGGAAAATAATCTGAATAATAAGCAAAAAATGTAATGCAACAAGTTATCTATGAAAGGTAATTCCAGAAACTAAATAGCTTAATACTATTTTTGAAAAACGTTAACAAACTAGGAGAGAATACAGAATCCCTAGATAAGCGTTTCGTTTTTGATTTTGTTTTCTGTTTTAATCAGTATCACTTCATGTCAAATCTAGAAAAACACTTCGATGGTTTTATTTAGGTTGATGTTTTGATAAGATTGAAAGAGAACTAGACATTTATCTTTTCCTAGTTAATTGAAATATGAATTCGTATTGTTCTCGTAAAAGGAAAAGTTTAAATGTGTGGTTGTTTCTGCGGTTGAAAGCCAGTTTTACTAAATGATCGTATTAGGAAGCTGTAGAAAGCTTTGTGTGAATATTCCATATCATTTTAGTAAAATGAAAATAATATAAGGAGCCAATTTTCTTATCATTCTAGATGATAACTTTATGCGCACAATATATGTATATATAGGTAAACAGGGCCCTAAATCATCTTTCCATTGAAATTTGTTTAACCAATTTTAGCTATACTTCATCTATTCGAGACTTGGAACGTTCAGCTGGTTCGGGCGCTTAGCACGAAACCTGAGGTCGCGGGTTCCAATTCCATCACCAAACATATTCGTCCTTTTAGCCGTGGTGGCGATATAAAGTTTCTTTGGTTGATACCTACAAGAATTGTACACGTTATTTACCACCGCCAGTTTCACTTGTTTTTACATTATTTTACGGAGAGAAAATTATGTATGAAATAATTTCTTCTCTTTAGATATATGTTTATCAAGTTTATTCTAAATATTGGGTATTTGCTGAAATAGATTAAAATAACTTTTAAGTCAAATCACTGAACAGTCATGACGAGTTTTTAGTTGAGTTTATAATAGAATTATATGAGTTAAATCTAGTTAGAATTAAATCATTACTTTTTCTTGACAATGTTAAAAACATATCTCCACAAGCAGTCTAGTGATTGTGACCATTTGATGTTGCTGTGACCTAACTCACGTTATCGAAAGTCAGTTTTCCCTCCCATAAAAATTATCCTAATTTCTTTACAGTCACTGCGTGTTCGTTGATCTCAAGTTTCCTGATCTTTGGAGTCGAACATATATTTTTTTGTGACGACAAAAACTTGTAGAAATCCAAAGGCATATCATCAAAAATAAAGACTATTTACAGTCATTTTCAACTGCTGAAATACTTTGTAGTTTTTAAAAAAAGGTAAAGTTTAATAATAAATTAAATCTCCTAATAGAGAGTTGAAAAATAACTTGTAAACTCTCTAAACGTCACCACTAACATTTCACTCTGCAAACTGTATACGAAGAAATATATTATTAACTTTGAATTACTCCAGTCTATTTAATTTGTATTTGCATAACTTATTTCCAACACATAATACTTAGACAAAATATACGAAGTATGGTTGACAAAAACTGAAGATGATGATTCATATATATAGGTAAATATACACGTACGTATTTTGTCAATAAAGCTATAAAAAACAACTTTCACTCCTTAGTTAACAACGACGAAAAAA